TCTGATGTGATATAAGCAAAGAAGAAAACTAAGATGAAACAGTCGAATGAAAAAACTTTCTATTTTAGTGATCTCTTTCACGGTCCCTTTCATCCAATGAAGTCCCCCGTATGCAAGGTGTTTTTGTGCTGATGCACCCCCTCGGTAGAGTTGACAAAACAATCACACCATAAATCAGAGATGTCCCATTTTGAATTACTCGATTATTAACTAATCGATTATTGTTTGTTCGCTGTACTGCCGTTTTTCAACCGATGAGAGTGCAGAAAATGTTCGAAACAATTGGTGATGATCCACTGGAGAAGTTAATGCTTGCTTAACTAATGCACTAGATGAATGTGAAACTACATTTTGACATCCACCGTCAATGTAAAATATAAGGGCCGTTCATAAATAATGAAATAATTTTAAATGGACCGGGGCTAATGATGTTGCGACTTAATTCAAGCCAACGTTGCCTCTGAATCCGTCAAGAAAATACGACGCAGGATAGGGAACGTGTGATACTCTCCAACCGCCTTTGCTAACCTTGCTCCCAATAGCGCACCCATAAGTTCATCTTGTCGTGTATGACGGCCCTGAAGTAAACTGCGGTTGCGTATGCCTCTTCACTAGCGTCCGTAAAAACATGTAGGTAGCTTCACCGAACCTACATCTGCGGCAGAGAATCCTGGAAAGTAGGCCCTGGGAAGTCGGATTTGGCTGACCCTTTTAAACAGCGCGATCCACCTACGCCAGCGAGATTGAATCGCTTCAGTCACCTCTTCGTCCCACTTGGTTTGATTGCACCAGGTGTCTTCGATAATCATCCGTCCCTGAATAGTAATGTGTGACAACATCTTGGGAATCGAAGAGACTCATGACACAACGCAATATGTTCCGCTTCGTTGGAGTAATGTCGTCAAGCTGCACGTCGCTAGCGAAAGCTAAAAGATCTTCTTCAGGTAACCAAAGAAGGCCAAGAACTCGTTCCGCATGATACTCCGTGTCGATGGTTATCGATTCCGGTTGTTTTTGTTTTGGTTCCCCGACCCGTTCCAGAAGTGTAGACGAGTTCGAGTGCCAATTCCGGATCTCGAATCCACCGCGTGCGTGTACCTCCCATTCATTTTGACTAAAAAAATGTTTTATGAAATTATGGAATAATAAGATATTATGATGATATTTTGTATGTGTAAGTAACAAGAAAAGATTATAAAGTTTGTGTTTGACACATAAAACCTGAAAATTTAGCTTTGACAGAGTCACAATGAGCGATTTTCTGATCGCCTCTTCACGAAGAGTGAAGAGCGAAGAGTGGGTGAGATAAATGGCAAAATCGCTTATTGCGACTCTCATGTAGCAAAATTGGCTGGTATTATGTGTCAAACACAAACTTCACAATATTTTCTTGATGTTTACACAAACAAAATATTATCATAATATCTTATTGTTCCATAATTTCATAAAACATTTTTTTAGGCAAAATGAATGGAAGGCACCCTGACTCAAGTGCAACCTTGATCGCTTCCTCTTCCGTGTCGAAGCTATCTAAAAAGTCGTCTACGTAGTGCTTCTTCAAGATTGCTTTCGCTGCCTGAGGATACTCTGATTCGTGCTCCTTCGCGTTCAGGTTCTTGATAAACTGCACTTGACTCGGAGAGCACGTAGCACCGAAACTCCCTACATCCATCACGTCCCAGTCGGGTCTTTGCGGAAAAGAATCCCTGACTGTGTACATCTTGTCGCCGTATCTTGAATTGATGAAACATTTGTCTCAAATCTCCGTTTACTGCCACCGGGTGCTCCTGGAATCCACAGAGCACTGCCGGAAGGGGAACCAACATGTCTGGTCTCTTGAGTAACATCGTATTTAACGACACACCTCCTACCTTCGCAGCTGTATCCCAAATCAGCCTGATTTTCCCGGCTTCTTAGGATTTCTCACAACTCCCAGTGGAAGGTACCAAACCTTGTCAGGATCGGCTGACTTCATTTCCTCTGGTGTTAGCTCGTGAATATAACCACTTTCCAAATACTAATCGATCTGCCGATGGACACTGTCTCGCAGCACAGAATCCGTACTCATTCTTCGCTCAAAGCATTCCAAGCAGCGCATGGCCATCAGGTAACTATTAGAGAATTCCACGCGGTCGTGTTGCCTTAACAGTCCTGTCTCAAACCCTTTCGTAGTCCGTTGTGTGGTTTCCTCCGCTGCGTGGGTGTTACTTGATACTGCCCAACCGGATCATATATCTTTGGAAGCACCGGAATGTGATTCACGAGTGGAAATCCACCTCCTGTCGTGGAGTTTGCTGAGTACCCCGGAAAGGGTAGAATTTGCTGTCTATCACCTGTTACTACGCTACCGGGATTCATAACGGGTGTCAATCCACCTCCTGCTATGGTGTTTATCGCGTATCCGGAAAAGGGTAGTGGTTGCTGTCTACCACATGTTACACCGCTGTTCATCGCTCGCCCAAGAAAAGCTGGTGGGGTGTTAACTGCTGACTGTACCCCTGGTTGACTCACGTTTGTTGCCACCCCCAGATAAGGCTGTAATTGTGGTAGCAAAGTCGATGGCTAACTAACTACTCCCTGGTATGGTGAAGGAAAACTCACTGTTGGGAGTGTAGGACAGGCCGTCACAACATTCGTTTGAGTGGCTCTACCTAGTCCTGGCATTATTGGTACTCGACTAACCAAACCTTTTGGTATTGCTCCAGCTAGACGATTTGTAAACCCGTGAGCGATTGCGGGGTAGTATGCTGAACTGGAGAAATAGTCACCTGATGAAGGTTTGCCGACCCACCTATCGCTCCTTGAAGAGTTGACGACAGAGTCGGGTCGAACGTATTCGCTACAGCACCTGCAGTCGTCGAAGTGTAACTGATGTCATAAGTGGGCACGACCGACGATGTCACCTCTGCCACCGCGCTCCTTGGAGCGATCGAAAGGTTCTTCATCTCTCCGACCATCCCTTGCATCCAGTTCTGCACCCTATTGACGCCTGCCACAACTGATTGCTCGTTCAAGCTATTGTTGCTGTCCTTCGTACTGTCGGTTAAAATCCTTATCAAGGCCTGGTTTTCCAGCCTCTTCAGTTCCAACCTCTTCCGTTCCATCTCGATTTGGTGATTTTCCTCCATCTCCCGTTCTAGCAATGTTCGTTGATCTTGAATCCACTGTAGATCTGCCCTTGCTTGATCAGTCAGTATAGACTGATTATAACTGCCTGTCGTCACCGGCGGCGGCAAACTGGAAGCCACAGTAGACACGGGAGTTCTGGTATGGCCGAGTGGATTGGTGGTGGACGAGCCAAGCACGCAGCACACATCCAACTTGCATCCGCTACGGATTCGTCTACTCCGACGCATTGGTAGTGATACCATTCTTCACACCTCGGGCAAAACACCATATTGTCCAGGTTATTTGATCGACAACAGACTTTGCAGTCGTTTCTTTCCGTCTCTGGCATCCTTTCGTCCGAGCGTTTCGTCAAGCAGATTCTTTAAGCTTTATTGGGTAGATCTTTCGGACCTCGTTCTTGAAGAATCTGGTCTTCTTGGTTTTATCCTAGCCCCAACAAATCCAAATTAATTCTTTAGTGAGTATGAGCTCGCTACGGCAAATGCAGAAATGCACACACTGATTTACTGAACATTTCAGCTGATTTCATGGTACTTATTAACCTTTCTACAGCAGCTTTTCCGATGATATATGGTACAATTACACTTCAAAATTGTGCAAAGCGGTGCATACTAAGGAGCATTTTCAAATGATTAATGTACAGTTTTCTCTATTTTAGGGAGCGTACTTTAAATATTTACTGAGCATTTTAAGATTTTTAACGTATTTTGATCAATCATTTAAGGAGCAACCCGATCTATTTTAAGGAGATTTTTTTTACTTATTAAGGATAATTTCATCTGTTTTAATGGGCAAAAGTAGGGCTGCCTACCACCATATTCTCCTGTCCTCTGTTCTTTCCATTTTAATGAAACCAATCCTGGAAGTTTGAAGAAAGCAACCTCTAATCATATGCTTCACCCGATAGGGTTAAGCCGGCGCCGGTGGTGTAGTGATAAGCGTGACTGCTTTCTCATCCCAATAGGCCTGGGTTAGATCCCAGCCGAGGTCGGTGGGATTTTTCTGAGGCATAAAAAACTCTGGTCACGTCTTCCTTCGGAAGGAAAGTAAAGCCGTTGGGCCCGGCCCATGTGTGTTGTGAATGGGTGCGATTTCCTACGCAGGTGTGGAAGCTGCCTTCCTGTACATTCGATTGCCGTCGATGCCGTTTGCGGAACAGAGACCGACGTTAAATAAAGGAATGAAGACCCAATAGGTTAAGAGCATTGTTGATTCTAGTAACAGATGTTGCTAGTTAAAAAAGATGCCGTATTTTTTTGCGAAATTTTTGTGTGTTTGTGTCTAAAATCGGTATTTTGGAAAAATGTTCAAATCTCCATATTTAATTTGTCTGAATAACTTTTTGCACATAGAAGGTGGCACCATCTTAAAATTGACAGCTTACGTTAATCTTTTACGACTGCCGAAAACTAGCTACACAAATCTTCTTACTGGCATCGAAAGTCGTTGATTAGTACAGTCGATAAATTAGCAAATACCATCGTACCCTCCTGTCATCTGTTCCTTCCATTATTCAATCCTGGAAGTTTGACGAAAGCAACCACAACTAAAAATTCAATTATGCAAATACTCAACCCATCAGAAAAACAAATTATCCTGTTTGTGTTTCCACCCAAAGTTTTCCTTCCGTTGAACGGCCCATTCATTTTAAATTTTACATTCAATTTTGCATCCTTCTACACAACCATCCTATGGTTGGTATCTACATAGCATTTCTAGAAAAATAACCATCAACGTACGCTCTTCCATTTCTGTCTGGGTAAGGCACGAAATAGCATACATTTCCGCTGAATATCATTTATTTTTACTATAAAAAATTCAAACGTTCTCACCCTTTCATACGATGTTCCTTTTTCTGCTTCTCCTTTCAGTGAACGAGAGTTGCCGTTTTAAATTATGCTAGCCGTAAATATTTCCTACCATTAGGTACCAAGCTCCACTATATGACTCTGTTGGTGATCCTCGGTCGCAAAATAGCCGAACCCAGCTGCACCTAACGTTGCTATGAAAAACCACCAAATTGATACCCCCAGGTGAAGAATCTGTAACAGTGGTAAAAAGGAATCGTGAATGGGTAATGGCAATCCAAAATTGAAAGTGTAAAATTGAAGAAGAATAAGTGAAATAAATTACATTCGGCTCTAGCGGAGAAGGAAAGTGGAATCCACCAGCTGGAAGAAGGAATCACAAGTGGATAGAGGAAAATGATTGGGGCAAAGCTGTTTCCGCTTCTGATTTATGTATCGTCCTTGCTGGCCGTGTCTGTCGTTGGCGTTACGAATGTTGAAAATTTTATCGTGTTTAATAGTGCTTGTTACTACGAGAGCGATTACGTGAGTGATAATTTGAGCTTGAGAGATCTGGTAACATCCAACGATGTGATAGTGAAGGCATTTGCCGGAGATGGCAATTACCTTCGCCCCGAGTTGGTGGCTTCCGGAGGTAGGGCAAATAAAGAAGAATCCGGTAGCCGGGGCGGAAGTGACGGTGGAAAAGCGAAAACCAACAGTGGCGATGAAATTAAGCGAAGCGATCGAAGTGCAAACAGCACACAACGGGAAGGACGGCACGGAAATGAAGAAAATGGAAATGCAAGTTCCATTAGTGAGGAGGACTTTATCGTGCGCCTTGAGCCATCCATGGTCTACAAGGGCAATGAAATCTTTAAGAAACTGAAACTGATCAACTGGAAGCATTTTGTGGTCATTAAAAGGTGAGTGTTTGCACTTCAGTTCTGTAATGTAAGACATCTGGTGTAACATTGTTTGATGTTTGTTTTTCAGAGGTGCAAGATAACAACTCGATACAGATTAGCTTGTAAAATGTATAATGAGTAACAGTGCCTCTTTGTGGTCATATAATTTTAAAATCACTTTGAATATTTATACCCAAAGCCACTGTTATGAAAGTCTGGATTTCCAATCTTCTTCCTTCAAACAAGTTTATCCTAGATTGTTGATCAAAAATAGTTCTGAATTATTGTACGTATCGTGAATCAGATCATCAAAAATGTCTCATGAATCAGGAAAATATGCATTTTTTGGTAATTCGATTATTTCGTTATGCTCAACTGTCTGAATAAAACATTACAGTGAAGAATTGTTTTTAAATTCTTTAAAAACAATTCTACAATTACAATAAACAAAAAACACAATTTCAAAGCCGTATTGTAGAGTTCTTCTGATAGGTCCTGGTTGGCGACTTATCTTGTGCTTTATATATGTACTGCTATTCCCGCAACTTAATCATATGAAGCACGCTGCATGCTTATAAACATACAAACATTAAAAGAGCGTCGTGAATATGCAATGGTTTTATTTGTAAACGATATCGTTTCGCAACGCATTGACTCCACAGAACTTTTATCAAAATTAAACTTCCATGCACCTACTCGGCAACTCCGAAATCGAAATTTATTTGCCATAAAACATCATCGCACAAATTATGCAAAATATGGGCCATTAAACCGCATGATGGCCTCTTATAATCAATACTGCGAAACCATTGACTTTACAATGTCTCGGCATAAACTAAAACAATATTTTTACTCCATAAGGCATTATAACTCATAAAAAATAGGAAAGCTGACACTGCTTAATTTTTATTAAAGAAAAAATTATACTTTTAACCTTTTGTCCAAAGTTGACGAAATAAATAAATAAATTTAAGAAAACAAAACTGTATTCTAATATGTACTAGTCTACGTTGGTTGACGAAATAAATAAATTAATCTGCTTATCAATGTCTACTCAGCTCTGTCTGTGAGCAACTTTTATTGGAACTGGTTATGCAATAGTGCACTTCCAGGCCAAATTGCAAGAAAAAATCTACCTCAAACTTCTCCGATTTGCATGAAACTTTTTATTATTGTTTGTTATGGTCAATCATACACATTTGAGTTAAAGTTCGGAAATGCCATCTGGGACAAAGTTGTAGGAAAAATCAATTACTTTTCAGTAAAAATAAACAGGATTCAAAATGTCAAGCAATTTTGTGTTAATTGACTCAAACCATAAAACTATAACTTTAAGTAAAATGTTGGACCTTTTTTTTTTGTAAAAATTTGCAAAGAAAACGATTTTTCGATTAATTTAAAATTTATTTAAAAGTCCACAAAAGTTGTTGAATTTTTTTTTGTGATTTGCTTTTCACACAAAAAAAGCAGTTTTCATCAGTTTTTTAATGGAAAATATTCAAAAAAATTTGAAGAGGGTAATTTATCTGGTATTTAAGTTCTAAAGACTTTATTTTTTACCCTAAAGTACTTAATTCTATGTCAAGTAGGGGTTGGGCCGAATACTCGCGGCTTACTCGAGGTTAGAAGGGTACATTGTCGAAGGATAGGATCAGGGGAGGAGGTTAGGGGTGCGTGGTGTCTCATCAGAGTGTTGTTGCCAGTATGAACGGACGCGTTCTTATAGACTTCGTTCGGTAGCTTATTAACTAAAGTATCGCGACAAACGCATAATTGACTTGTTAACTCTGAAATCATGGATTTATTTGAAGTTTTCTGCTCGATAGGCCCAAAATGGGCTATTAGACCGAAGTAGTTCTCTACCCTACCAGACATTTGAAGAAACACATAAACCGACTGCATATAGCAGATATCGCGAGTTCCGAACACGATAAGAACATAGGGCTGTCTTCCTTGGGTCTCAAGGGTATTCAAAAGTCGCTCTGGCGACTCAAAAGAGTATTCTGGCGGCGTCTTTATCCGTTCATTGCCAAACTGCGTGATCGATGTCATCGTAACCGTTTCCACACCGACAGATGTTTCTGTCCATGAGGTTTATTCTATTGATCATCACGCGAATGAAGTAACGACTTATGCCCAAGCCTTTAAACCACGCTCTCGAAGAAACATTAGGAATAATTGAATGTAACCATCGTCCAATATTTCCAGTGTCCCAATCGGTTTGCCAACTCGAAAGGGTACTCTGACGCACTAAATGGTAAAATTCATCGTGTGAAATTTGCCCGTCATAAAATTCGCCTTCCTGCGCGTCCACCGTTGCGAGAGAGTCCGCCTTCTCATTGCCTGGGATTGAGCAATGTGAGGGGACCCATACAAAGGTAATCATATATGATCTTTCGACCAGCAAACTCATCTGCTCCCTTACCTTTGAAAGGAAATAATATGAGTTCCTACCTTGTTTCATCGACCGAATAGCCTCGATCGAACTATCCGAGAAGATGAAGTAATGGTCTGTGGGCATATTGGAAATCATCCCCAATGCAAAGCTCATTAACAAATACGGAACAAGGTTCCTGAAGCTTGCGGAAGGCGCTAGAGTTTTCATTGAAGACACCGAAGCCAGGGGATCCATTGAGACCGGACCAGTCTGTAAAATATCTTTTCATGCAATTGACTTGTTGGTACTTTTTTTTTTTTTTTAGGGGGAGAGGTAGCTCATTGATTCTTCCGGTTCGCCTCCTAGCAACGTGCTATAAGGTACCAGGCGATAACCAGGGTAGTTGATCGATAGCTCGATGACGTCATTTCGTTGACGTCTGTAATGGGAAATTCTCATAGCAGGCGTTGACGATGGGACGTTGTCGAGTTGTTGAATAGCAACTATCGTGGTAACTCACCGATTACCTGTCGATCTGCCAAATTTGGAAAGACGTCTGCATTGAATTGTCTCATATAATAATATTCCGCCCACTATATCACAAGAAATTGCGAGTAGCTGAGTGGAATGGAGATAAGTTAAGCATTGGGTACAGGACCAAGTCTCCCCTGGGTGGTGCCAAAAGATAAGCGCAATAGAATCATCAAGTTGCCATAAGGCACGGAATAAGACTATTGCATGGCTGGGTAGTCAAAGTCTTCTATTCGTTAGTCATTTCAGATGGATTAGAACAGGTTTAGGTGGGCGTTGGCCAGATTTGGATTTTTCAGATGTAATCCTGGATAGGACCCTGTCATTGAACGTCGCGTGAAAGTGGAATTTAATGAAGGCCTAAGTACTTTTTCGTAGTTTTTAGTTTTCGGATTTGAAAGATCGTCGGTTACAGTGGCCTGCTTACTGAGCAGAAAAACGCGGTCCCAGGTCCTTACATATCAAAGAGATTTATGGTAAAATCGCTTGTGTATCGTGTATTTTGCGAAACTCGTTGTTGTCGGTGGTTCCGGGTTTGAATGGATACACAAATTTGAGCAACGGTATTATGTGATATGAGGGGCTCGGTGGCCTTAGAGCAACCATTTTTGCTTACTGAGCAGAACATCATGAGTCTAATCGCAGGCCCATCCACATTCAAGATTCGTCAATCGTTTTATTTGTTAATATGACTACATGGTAATAACAGCATCTCGGTAATTAAAAAGGTGCTCGTTTGCCTAGTGGCAAACGTTTTTGTTTACTGAGCAGAAGACCGTGGGTTTAGTCCCAAACTCCTTCGCGTTATATGATCGTTAGGACATCAATTCAACTTATCGTTTACCAAAACGAACCCTGCTGCAAACCCAACCCTCTTATCCAACATCCCAGTGATTCCTCGTGGAAGTGCAGAGGTGTTCTCGGCTTCCATCAAAGCGAGTGTCATGTCAACACAATCCTTCCCATTCCTTTCTTGACCTGTGTTCGGGCGCGGCCGGCGCTGGTATTGCCTAATTTAAGATCACCAGTTTTTACACATTGAGGATGATTGCTAGTCCCAAGCATCGTCTATTGGTTCTCTGTGTAATTACAGCTGATCTGGCAGTAACAGAGTAGCAACCGTGGGCGGTCAATCAAGCTCAAGCTCAAGCTCTAGCAATTGACTTGTTGGTACTTTTAACTTTTAAATTTAATTCGTTCCAATTTTATTAGGTGACATTTTCTTGCCGAGAACAGATAGAGTTGTTGTTTTATAAAGCGTTATGAGGTCTCCCGGATGAGCACCCCACTATGTGCCGCAAATTGAACGGAGAAAGTTGATCCTCTGTTGACATTTTTGCTTCAAATACGTAATATGAGTATTCCAAGTGCACTTTGAATCAAACCAAACCCCAAAGTACTTGAAAGACAATGATTGGGTAATGTTTCTGCCCAAAAGGTTAATCTGCATTTGAGCTGGGTACCGCTTTCGAGTAAACACTACCAGTTCAGTTTTCTGCGGCGAGAATTCGATCCCTTGATTCCTAGCCCAAGACGACAAATTATCTAAGGAACTTTGCAATGGTCCTTGCAAGTCCACGGCATGTGGACCTCTTACTGAAACCACACCGTCATCTGCAAGTTGTCTTAGCGTGCATTGTTCTGCCAAACAGTTGTCGATATCTTTGACATAAACATTATAAAGAAGAGGGCTGAGACATGAGCCTTGGGGCAGGCCCATGTAACTAATTCTGAAAGTTGTCAGTTTTCCAAGAGAAAAGTTCATTTGCTTTTCTGACAACAAATTGTACAAGAAATTATTTAAAATTCCAGAAAGTCCACATCTGTGCAGATTGTCTGACAGAATTTCAATGGAAACTGAATCAAAAGCCCCCTTAATGTCCAAGAATACTGAAGCCAATTGCTCCTTGTGTGCAAAGACCAGTTGAATATCTGTGGAAAGCAGCGCTAGACAATCGTTTGTTCCTTTGCTCTTGCGGAACCCAAACTGTGTATTTGATAGCAAGTTATTTGTTTCGACCCACTGATCGAGTCTCCGAAGGATCATTTTCTCCAACAATTTCATAATGCACGAAAGCATAGCAATCGGACGGTATGAGTTATGGTCAGA